TATATACTGTCTGCCTATTGATCTGAGGGCTGGATGTCACAATGTTCGGCCTCATTCGAAGACCAACACCATTTTTTGACTGTCTTATCGCCCCGTTTTCCCGCGGAAGAGGCTTTGCAGTGCTGATTCTCTGCAAGACTTTCAGCTCTAGCGAGCACTCAACGCAGACGAAGATTCATCCACCAATGGTCTTTTCGTACCTTTTTCCACTTGCGTACACGGACAGACCTTGCGAACCAGCTCTGCCAGTGCGAGACCACCGCCTCTATCCCGACATTCATCCCTGCGTCAATGCTACAGATGCATTTTTGAGTCATTTGAGTCTTTCACGTCGCATCGATTTCAAAGGTATCATATTCGAGAGTGATATCAGTCTAGCGATGCGTCAGTGAGACAGCACGTTGAAATTTGTTCATTGAAATTTTGACCAAACGCTTCATGCGCTTTTGCACACCTTCCCCGCCCACCGGCAAAAGTACACGGGCCCCATACAGCCACAGCAAGGCTGTCGCGTCTTGAGTCTGTGCATTGAACCTCCTTGATACGAATACAAATTGGTGACATGAGATGGCGTTGGTTAGTAAAAGCGCGCAAAATCATGCACAGCGTGTTCGTAGCGGTTCAGGCTCTGCCCAATTTTTTTCAAACTCCTATCAGGTCATTTTCCTCACATTCCGTCTTTGAGACGCGTATCTTGCTTGGAAGAACAAACCTGAGAAATCTCTGTTCTCAAAAGCGCGAAAATGCTTGGTTTGAAATATCCGAGAAGGCGCCTTTGCACAGCCCGAATTTCTCTGAAGTTGCATCAACTTTCCGCTGGGTGATGGAAAACCTGCGGTCATTCATTGCTTGCCTGAAAAATCGTCGATCTTGCTCTTGTGTGAGACTACACCATGGAGATCGATCAATAGTCAAGACCAGCGAACAAACTTCGTCGGCCCTTCACTGCAGATATGTATTATCGACCAGTTCGAGGTACTGCCGGCGACTTGGCCCATAAAAATCTGGCGGATAGCATCATAATCTTTTACAGGGGGAACCTAAACCGATTGGTTGAGTCCGCCTCAGCTGTCTCGAAGCGTGTCTCCGTGAAGCAAGGACATCGCTGTCGGCGCATTTTTGCCCCACTCAGACACAGAAAGGAAACACGATCAGAGGAAAAAGCTCACGTATACTACTTTGCACGTAGCAGTGCTTCACCTGAGCACTCCATTCAAGTATTTGTGATGACAGCAATTTGAATTCCAATTGCTCACCTTCCTG